TTTTTCTCCTTTTCGATTTATGGAGTTTTCAATTTTTCGATTTCTCAATTTTTCAACGTTTCAGTTTTGGGATTTTTATATTCTTCAATTTTTCTTCGATTTTTCAATTTTCCGACTTTTCGAGTTTTCGAATCCTGGATTTTTCTATTTTTCTATTTTTCGGGTTTTAAATTCTAGATTTATCAATTTTTAAATTTTTGGATTTTTTGATGTTTCGACTTCTGGATTTTTCAATATTTCTTCGATTCTCCAATTTTCTAATATTTCAGTTTTGTGATTTTTCAAAATTTCAGTTCTTCACTTTTTCGATTTATCGACATTTTGATTTCTCGATTTTTCAGTTTTTCGATTTTTAAATTTTAGAATATTCAATATTTCAAAATTTTCCATTTGTTGATATTTCAATTTCGATTTTTCACTTTGACACTTCTATGTTGCAATTTTTCGAATTTTTTAATTTTAGGTTTTTCAGTCTTTTGATGTTTCGATTTTTCGATCTTTCGATTTTTCAACTTCTCTGTTTTAGATTTTTCGGTTTTTCAATTTTTTGATTTCCCTACTTCTCGGTTTTTTAATTATTCGATTTTTTATAATTTCGATTTTTTGGTTTTTCGATTTTTTATAATTTCGAATTTTCTACTTTTCGATTTCTCGATTTCACAATTTTTCGATTCTCTAATTTTTCTTACAGATTTTGCAGTTAAGCTCCGCCCTGCCCTCTTGGCTCACGACGAATAAAAAAAAATCATCACAATTGAGATAGGGTGGGTGGGTGGGGCTTATATTTTGCCTTTTTTTTTTCTTAATATTCATAGCCATCTTTTCACAACAAAAAACTTAAAATCTGGTCAAAATGGTACATTTTTGAAAGGAAATATAGATTTTGAAATTATGGGGCGGAGCCTAATTGCAAAATCGATGTTTCCTTATACAAATTTTCCATTTATTAAACATGTTTTAAGTTTCATGTTGTGAAAAGAAGTCTACACATATTAAAACAAAAAAGCTAAATGTGGCCTGAATTTTTTGAGAATTTTTGGACGACTTTTTCAAAATTTAATTTTTTTTAATTTCCACTCTCCCTCATTTTATTCTCTTTTATTTTTCAATTTTTCGGCTTTTCATTTTTCAATTTTTCATTTTTCAGTGTCTCGATTTTTTCATTTGCAATGTTGTACTTTTTCAATCGCTCCATTTTTAATTTTTCAATGATTAATCTTTCGGTTTTTGGACTTTTTAGTTTCTCGATTTTCCCATTTTTCTATTTTTTAATGTTTCGGTTGTGCACTTTTTCAATTTCGCAATTTTAATCTTTTGATTTTTGAATTTTTCGTTTCTTCAATATTTCAAGTTCAAGTTTACAGTTATATATATATTTTTTTTATCAAAAAGTTGAGAAGTTAGAAAATTAAAAATCGAAAAGCAAAAAAATCCGAAAACTTCAAAAATCGAAAAACTGAAAAAACTAAAAATTGCAAAATCGAAAAAGTGGAAAATCGAAAAATTACAAATCGAAGAACTGAAGAAACGAAAAACTGAAACATTAAAAAACCAAAAAGTGAAAAATCCAATAAATGAAAAAGATTTATCCAATAATTGATAAATGGAAAAATTCTAAAATCGTAAAATTAAAATAATGAAATATTTTAAAAATAATTATTATTACATATTTAAAATGAAGAAAAACTGCAAAGAAAAAATTGAAAAATCAGAAACTGAAAAAACGAACAATTAAAAACCAAAAAATTGCAAATCGAAAGACTGAAAAATCCGAAAAGAAAAAATCCACATTGAAAAAAATTAAAAACAAACGAAAAATTGCAAATTGAAGAACTGAAGAAACGAAAAATTGGAACAATGAAATATTAAATATTGAGTACCTGAATTTTTTTTTTAAATTAATGAATCAAAAAACTAAAAAACAAACATTTGTAAAGTCGAAAAATCATAGAATCGTCAAATTGTAAAACTGTAACACTGAAAGATCAAAAAATTGAAAAATTAAATATCGAAAACTTGAAAAATGAAATGTGATTTTTTTTTAATAATAGATATTACATATTTAGAATGAAAACTATAAAAGTTACAAAAAAAAAATGGAAGAAAGGAAAAATTAATAAAAGTTGAAAAATCTAAAAATTAAAAACCGAAAAATTGCAAATCGAAAAATCAGAAATTTAAAAATTTCACATTAAAAAAATTCACATATATAAAATCAGAATATTGAAAAACCGAAAAATTGCAAAATCTAAAAACTGAAACATCCAAAAACTGGAAAATTGAAAAACTGAAAAATTTAAAAATGAAAATCTGAAGAGTTGCATGTCGTGAAATTGAAGAAAAAAATGAAAAATCGAAAAATTGAAGAAAGGAAAAATTGAGAAAAATTGGAATTGAAGTAACAAAAAATTCTAAAATTGGAACATAGCGAAATCGAAAATTTGAAGAAATGAAAAAGTTTTAAAATCCAATAATTTAGAAATGGAAAAATTCTAAAATTGTAAAATTGAAAAAGTGGAAAATTTCAAAAATTATTATCATTTGTACATATTTAAATGAACTCCAGAAAATAGCTAACCAAAAATTGAAGAAACGAAAAATTGGAAAATTTTAAATTGGAGAAATGAGAAATTAAAAAACCTAAAAGTTAATAATCGAAAAATTGGAAAATCCAAAAATTTAAAAATTTTACATTGAACAAAAAAATAGAAAATCAGAACACTGAAAAACCGAAACCTAGAAAAAATAAAGAAAATAAAACATCGAAATGAAAAGTTGTTAATCGAAAAATTAGAGAATCCAAAATTTTACATTGAAAAAAGAAAAATTATAAAATCAGAACACTGAAAAATCGAAAAGCAGAAAATATGAAGAAAATAAAAAATCGAAATGAAAAATTGTACATCAAAAAAAAGTTGAAGAAACGAAAAACTGAAAAAAATCAAAAAAATATAAAATCGGAACATGGAGAAATTCAAAAATTAAAATCGAAAACTCCGGAAATTTTAAATAAAAAAATTTCAAAATATAAAAATTGAAGAACTAAGAAATTATAAACTAGAAACATTGCAAAATCGAATATTTAAAAAAATAAAGAAAATAAAATCCAGAAACAAAAAAAAATGGAAATCGAAAAATTGAAGAAAGGGAAAATTGAGAAAAATCGGAATTGAAGTAACGAAAAATTATAAAATTGGAACACTGCTACACATATTAAAACAAAACGCAAAAATGTAAGCCCGCCCACCCGCCCTGTTTCAATTGTGATGACTTTTTATTCGCCGTGAACCAAAAGGGCGGAGCTTAACTGCAAAATACTTATTTCTTAAGAAGAAATTAAAACATGTTTTTGAGTACCGTAATGTTCAAAGAATATTATATATATTAAGAAAAAAACCCAAAATATAAACCCCGCCCACCCGCCCTATCTCATTGCGATGATTTTTTTATTCTTAGAAACTCTAGACACGTTTAAAATGGTAAATATTTGTAAGTAAATATGGATTTTGCAATTAGGCTCCGCCCCTAGGTCTACCAACGAATGAAAACTTGATTACTATTTAGATCATTAGAATTTTTTCTAAATAAAATAACGATTTTGCAATTAAATTCCGTTCCTTTGTCTCTCAAGGATTAAAAAAAATCATCACAATTGAGATTGGGCGGGTGGGCGGGGCTTATATTTTCCTTTTTTCTTAATATACGTAGTCGTCTTTTCAGAACAAGCAACTTAAAACATGGATGGTTTAGAATTCTTGTAGACAAATATGGATCTTGCAATTAGCCCTGCCCCTCGATGTAACAACGAATTAAAAATTCATCACAATTGAGAATTGAGATCGGGGCGGATATGGGTGGGGCTTAATATTTGACTTTATTTTTTTCTTAATATACATGGTATTCTATGAGCAAAACGACACTCAAAAACATGTTTTCAATTTCTCGTATATTTTTGATTTTTCATTTCTTCGATATCTCTATTTTTCATTTTTTCAAATTTTTAAATTTTAGATTTCAGTTTTTTTAATTTTGGATTTTTCGATTTCTCGGTTAGATTTTTTTTTCAGGTTTCTGATTCTTCAAATTTTCTTCGGTTTTTCAATTTTTCGCCTTTTCGATTTACGGAGTTTTCAATTTTTCGATTTCTCAATTTTTCAACGTTCAGTTTTGGGATTTTTAGATTCTTCAATTTTTCTTCGATTTTTCAATTTTCCGACTTTTCGAGTTTTCGAATCCTTGATTTTTCTATTTTTCTATTTTTCGGGTTTTAAATTCTAGATTTATCAATTTTTAAATTTTTCGATTTTTTGATGTTTCGACTTCTGGATTTTTCAATTTTTCTTCGATTCTCCAATTTTCTAATATTTCAGTTTTGGGATTTTTCAAAATTTCAGTTCTTCACTTTTTCGATTTATCGACATTTTGATTTCTCGATTTTTCAGTTTTTCGATTTTTAAATTTTAGAATATTCAACATTTCAAAATTTTCCATTTGTTGATATTTCAATTTCGATTTTTCACTTTGACACTTCTATTTTGCAATTTTTCGAATTTTTTAATTTCTCTGTTTTAGATTTTTCGGTTTTTCAATTTTTTGATTTCCCGACTTCTCGGTTTTTTAATTATTCGATTTTTTATAATTTCGATTTTTTGGTTTTTCTATTTTTTATAATTTCGAATTTTCTACTTTTCGATTTCTCGATTTCACAATTTTTCGATTCTCTAATTTTTCTTACGGATTTTGCAGTTAAGCTCCGCCCACGACGTATAAAAAAATTATCACAATTGCGATAGGGTGGGTGGGCGGGGCTCCACTTTACCTTGTTTTCTTAGTGTGTGCAGACTTTTGTAGAGTTGTGTCTGTTTAGTTAAATTCGGATAAAATAACCTCAATTTTGGCACAACAACGATAAATAAATATCTGGATTATAATAAAACCCCCGTAAATTAGTCCAGCCGATACCACCTGGCAAGCGGGCCGGAATCGATAAACCGACTTACTTTCCGTGCCGATTTGGAGCAAAAAGAGACGGAGCAGGACTTGATCCTGGCCGCGAGTCCCGTGGGAGCCGTGGGAGACGCGGGCTCGACGGGCTCCTGCTGGCTGCTGACGGAGTCCGCGTGGGCGAACGGTCCGTTGGCGACTCCCTCATCCGTCACCAGGACGCTGGGCGCGCGGTTCCGACCTCGGGGGTTGAAGATGGTCGGGATGTCCCCGTCCCGCGTCATGGCCCCTCAGCGGAGTGCCGGCGACGATTCATTGCTCATCTGGCCATTGATTCGCCTGCCACAAATACATTATTAACAGACTTTCTAGGATTCCGACGAATGGGGAATTTATGAGGGTCTATTGATTTTAATGGGGGCGCGTCCTCCCGGCCGTGACTTTGTTTGGAGTTTAAAGTTTTCGCGGAGATGGGTCGTGACGGGAAAGGTGGAAGGGGCGAGTGAAAGTGGGTACGAATACGGGGTGGCCCAAATTTCAAAGTTGTACGATCAGTGGTACGGTTTTCGAGGAAAAACTGTGTCATAGATGGCGTTTGTCATTTATTATTAATGTACAGGATGTACATAAAAATATTTACGTAGTTTTAAAATACACAAAGTCGTTACTACATCTTGCTTCATAGTTGAAAAATAGCAACAAATATTAACTTAGGTATAGAAAAAAGCCTTTCCAAAATTTTTGTTTATCATTAAAAGTCAAAATTACACGAACTCGTTGTTGCAATAACCCAACAAATAAGGCCAAAAAAATCGAAATTTCCAAAAAGTATGTTATAGTCGCCGAAAATTTTGGGTTTATTATAAATCTGAATTCGTTTTTGCGATAGATCTTCCAATAAGCGAAAAAAAAAAGAATTTGAAATTTCCAAGCGGAAAAGCAGTTTAAAAAAAGGGGTCAAAAATGCGCCAAAAAAGGAAAAAAAGTCAAAAAAAATACAGAAAGAGCACAAAAAATTACCAACAAAGTATAACAAAGTTACAATAAAATGGACAAAAAAACTACAAAAAATTCTTTTATTATTATGTAGAAAATAAGAAAACGGCAAAAAGAAAGTTATAAAAAAAAGAAAAAAAAAAGACAAAAAATGCGACAAAAAGTCCAAAAACGAGAGAGGACAATAAAAGAAAAGAAAGAGAGCCAAAAAAACTACAAACAAAAGCGACACAAAAAGACGGCAAAAAATGTAAGTAAGTAAGAAATTAAAAAAGGCAACAAAAAACGACAAAAGAAAAACGATAACAAATCGACAAAAAAAAGGGAGAAAAAACGACAACAAAATGTTATATAAAAAAACGACAAAACGACAACAAAAAATACAAAAAAATTGATACAAAAAGGAAAAAAAAACGAAAAAACACGTTACAAAAAAACAGGACAAACAAACATAAAAAAAAAGCTAGAAAAAAGCGACAAAGTTGAGATAAAAACAACAAAAAATGCCACCAAAAAGGGAAAACGCTGACAAAGAAGACAACAAAAAAAGCAACACAACCAAAAAGGCGACAAAAGAAAAAAACAAAAAGTGCAACAAAAAACTACAGAAAAAAAAAGCACAAAAAGGCGACAAAATCTTCAAAAAAGAAATAAATTCCGTTACTTTCAATTAATTCAGTTTGTAATAAGTGTTTAAAAATTATATCTTCCACTCTGTAACTTTCATTTTAAATAAATAAACAAATAAATAAAAGCCGCATAACAAAATTACAATAAAACGAACAAAACACGATAAAATTCTAAAAAAACGACAAAGAGAAGGTAACCAAAAAAACAAAGTAAATACGATAGAAAAAAAGAGGACAAAAACAAGAAAAAAGGGGAGGAGCAAGGATCCAAAAAATGCGATATAAGAAGGGAAAAAAAAGCGACCTAGAAAACGACAAAAATCTGAGAGAAATACAAAAATGCGACAAAAAAAGAAAAAACGATAAAAAAATGAAGCAATAAAAACGCGATAAAAAAAGGAAGAAAAATATACAAAAAACGCGTGGTAAAAAAGAGGAATAAAAATGCGACAGAAATTGAAAAAACGATAAAACAAGAGAGGACAAAAAAATAAAAGAAAAAAAACAAAAAACAACAATGAAAAGCGACACAAAAACCCGATAAAAAAGAAAAAAATTATACACAAAAACGGGTGAAAAAAAAGAGGAGTAAAACACCAGGATAAACAATAAATAATGTGAGGAAAGAATAGAAAAACAAGACCACAAAAATAGAGATAAAAAATTGGAAAAAAGGAAGAAAATCACGACTAAGCGAGTAAAGAGAAGCAACAAAAATGAGACCAAAAAAGCAATAAAAGAGTCGACCTAAAAACCATGGATAAAGGAAAAACAACAAAAAAGGGAACAAAAAACCAATAACAAATCAACAAAAAAATGGAAGGAAAAAACGACAACAAAATATTATAAAAGAAGTGACAAAAGAAACGACAAAATGACAACAAAAAATACAAAAAAATAGTCACAAAAAATGAAGAAAACAAAAAAAGGACGATAGAAAAAGGCGACAAATAACGAAAAAACGTTAGAAAAAAGAGGACAAGAAAAGAGAAGAGAAGAAAAAGGACCAAAAAAACAACAATGAAACGTAAAATGAAACAAAAGGTTGAGTTAAAAAGAACAAAAAACGCGACGAAAAGGGAAAAGGGTAACAAAAATCTTAAAAAAGTCATAAAAAAGACAACAAAAAAAGAGCAACACGACCAAAAACGTGACAAAAGAAACAACAAAAAACTACAGAAAAAGAAAGAGCACAAAAAAGCGTCAAAAAACAATAACAAAGTTACAATAAAACTGACAAAAAATAAAATAATCATATTATTAGAAAAAAAGAGAACAAAAACAGAAAAAAAAAGAACAAGGAACGAAAAAATGCTACACAAGAAGCAACAAATAAGACGACCTAGAAAACGAAAAAAATGCGACAGAATGGATAAAAATGCAACAAAAACAAAAGAAAAGACAGATAAAGAGAGGATAATAAAAGAAAGGAAAAAAGACCAAAAAACAACAATCAAAAGCGACATAAACCGGCGATAAAAAAGGTGGATAAAAAACGCCAGTAGAAACAATAAAAAAAGCGACAAAAGACAAAAAAGCCAGCAGAAAAACAAGATGACAATAAAAGCGACAAAATAAAAAAGCAACTAAAAAAGAACGACGTAATAAACTACGAATAAAAAGAGAAGACAAAAAACAACAAAAAAAGGCGACAAAAAACGATAACAAAATGTTATAAAAGAAGCAATAAAAGAAACGACAAAAAGACAACAAAAAATACAAAATGGACACAAATAGCAAAAAACGTACAAAAAATTAAAAAAAGACGATAGAAAATTGAGGACAAACAGGAGAAAGAAAAGCAAAAAAACATGAACAAAAAAAAAGCAGAAAGAAGCGAAAATATACTAGAAAGGAAGCAACAAAAATAGTGACTTACAAAACAGAAAGGTTGAGATAAAAAGAACAAAAAAAGAATTGAATTGAATTAACTTTATTGGTGTATAGGACATAAAACATGTTTTACACAAGTCACAAATACCATAAAAAGGAGAAAAAGTTAGAAAAATCGTAAAAAAGAAGATAGAAAAGACAACAAAAAACGGCAAAAAAGCAGTAAAAGAAGCAACAAAAACGACAAAAAATGCAACAAAAAGTTGACAAACAAGCAGAAAAAAATGCGGCAGAATGGACAAAAATGCAACAAAAACAAAAAAAACAATGAAAGAAAAGAAAAAGGACCAGAAAGCAGCAAACAAAAACGACAAAAACAGGCGACAAAAAAAGCTAAAGTGACAAGGCAAGGGAAGGAAAGCAATAAAAGCGAACAAAAAAGATTAAAAAAGGCAAAAAAAAGCTAGAAAAAAGCAACAACAAGGTTGAGATAAAAAAAAAACAAAAAATGCGACCAAAAAGGGAAAACGGTGACAAAAATCTTAAAAAGATAACAAAGAAGACAACAACAAAAAGCAACACAATCAAAAAGTCGACAAAAGAAACAACAAAAAATGCAACAAAAAACTACAGAACAAAAAAGAGGACAAAAAAGCTACAAAATCTTCAAAAAAGAAATCAATTCCGTTACATTCAATTAATTCAATTTGTAATGAGTGTTTAAAGGTTATATCCCACACCCTTTCATTTAAAATAAATGATAAATAAAAACCGCATAACAAAGTTACAATAAAACGAACAAAACATGATAAAATTATGTTATTGTCTAAAAAAGGATAAAAAATGACAAAGAGAAGGTAACCAAAAAGTAAAATACGATAGAAAAAAAAGAGGACAAAAACAAGAAAAAAGGCGAAGAGCCAAAAAGTGACAAAATGCGATATAAGAAGGGGGAAAAAAGGCGACCTAGAAAACAACAAAAAATGCGACAGAAATATAAAAATGCGACAAAAAACGAAAAAAATGATAAGAAAGAGTGAACATGAAAAGAAAAGAAAAATGACCAAAAAACAGCAATGAAAAGCGACACAAAAAAGCGATAAAAAAAGAAGAAAATATACAAAAAACGCGTGGAAAAAAAGGAATAAAAAGGACAAAAATGCGACAGAAATACAAAAATTCGAAAAAAAAAACGAAAAAACGATAGAAACAGGGAGGACAAGGAAATAAAAGAAAAAGAACCAAAAAAACAAAAATGAAAAGCGACACAAAAACGCGATAACAAAGGAAGAAAAATATACAAAAAGCGCGTGAAAAAAAAGGGGAGTAAAACACCAGGAGAAACAACAAAAAATGAGAAGAAAAATAGAAAAACAAGATCACAAAAATAGAGATAAAAAATGAGACCAAAAAACAACAAAAGAGTCGACCTAAAAACCAAGGATAAAGGAAAAAACAACAAGAAAGGGAACAAAAAAACAATAACAAATCAACAAAAAAAGGGAGGAAAAAATGACAACAGAATGTTATAAAAGAAAAGACAAAAGAAACAAAAAGTGAAAAAAAGCTACAAAAACAAGAAAAGGACGATAGAACAAAAGAGACAAACAAACATCAAAAGAGGCGACAAGAAATTGACAAGAAAGGGAAAGGAAAGCTAAAGAAAGTGAAAAAAAGAAACAAAAAAAAAACGAAAAAATGCTAGAAAAGGAGCAACAAAAAATGGAAACCTTGAAAGAAACAAAAAGGTTGAGTTAAAAAGAACAAAAAAAAACGACGAAAAGGGAAAATGGTAAAAAAAATCTTACAAAGATGATAAAAAAGACAACACAACCAAGGCAACAAAAGAATCAACGAAAAATGCAACAAAAAACTACAGACAAAGAAAGAGCACAAAGAAGCTACAAAAAACGATAACAAAGTTAAAATAAAACGGACAAAAAACGACAAAAAAGGTGACAAAAAAACAAAGAAAAACACGATAGAAAAAAGAGGAAAAATAGTGAGAAACAAGGAGCGAAAAAATGCTACACAAGAAGCAAAAAAAAACGACAATCAAAAGGGAAGAAAAAAACACAAAAAAGCGCAAAAAAAAGGTGAAAAAAAAAACGCCAGTAGAGCCAATAAAAAATGTGAAAAAAAAGTGAGAAAAGACAAAAAAGCCAGCAGAAAAACAAGACGATAAAAATAGCGATTAAATAAATACGAAAAAACGGAAAAAACCATGCAAGACAAGGCGAACAAAGACAAGCGACAAAAATGGAACAAAAAAGCAAATAAAAAACTACGAATAAAAAAAGAAGACAAAAAACAACAAAAAAAAGGCGACAAAAAACGACAATAAAATGTTATAAAAGAAGCGACAAAAGAAATGACAACAAAAAGGACACAAAGGTTGAGATAAAAAGAACAAAAAAAGGGGAAAAGGTGAGAAAAATCTAAAAAAGACAACAAAAAACAAAACGGCAAGCAAAAAAGCAGTAAAAGAAACAACAAAAAAGCGAACACAAAAACGACAGAAAATGCAACAAAAAATTGACAAACAAACAGAAAAAAGCCGACCTGAATGAACAAAAAAGTTTAGATAAAAAGAAAAATGCGACAAAAAAACAGGAAAAAAAGTGACAAAAACTGAAAAAACACGATAGAAAAAAAGACTACTCCAAAAAAGGGACGAAAGCAACAACAAAAAATGGGACAAAAACGGCGACCAAAAAACGACAAAACATTGCAACAGAAAGGTGTCAACCCAACGGAAGAAAAACACTATTAAAAAAGTGGACAACAAATATAACAAGAAATGACAAAAAAAAATAAAAAAACGATATAAACATGAAAGAGGATCAAAAAACAACAAAAAGAACGACAAAAATTTGCGGCAAAAACGGCAAAGGAAAAGCGACAATAAAATGAAAAAAAACGACAAAAAACGAAAAAAAGCTGAAAGAAGAAACCAAAACAATGGGGCCAAAGACACAACAGAAAAATGTGTCTACAAAACTAGAACAAAGAATAGAAAGGGAACAATAAAAAACAAAACACGACAGAAGAAAAACGATAGCTAAGCGACGAAAAAACGACAGCAAAATGGAACAAAAAAGTGAAAAAGATACAATAGAAAAGAAGAGGACAATAAAGGCCAAAAAGGACGTTAAAGAAATGCTAAAGCAACAAAAAGGGGAAAGAAAAAAATGTGAAAAGAAAGTTGAGACAAGAAGAACAAAAAACGGACACAAAAAGGCGAGAAAAAAGCGACAACAAAAATAGCAAAAAGGCGATAGAAACTTGAAAAGGGCATCAAAAAAACGACAAAAAACTTATTATTGTTTTAAAAAAGAGGAAAAAAAAAGAAAAAAGTGACAAACAAACGAAAAATGTACGAGAGAAAAAAGAGGACAGAAATAGCTAAAAGAAAAAAAGAAAAAACGGGAAGTGAAGAAAGAAAGAAAAACGTATTTGAAACTTTCAAAAATTTTGTAGAAGATTTTCCGTAAAACACGAACCCAAAAATTTTCCGGAAAATTGAGTAGAGTAGCCACGAAATATGAGTGACATCATGAATAGAGCTGATGCTCCCACTACCAGATGTCGCTGTTTCAAAACCCGGGAACTTTAAATGTCTATAATGTAGGAATCTATAACGCGTATTTACCAACATTCTAGACTTTGGAATTTTAGAATTTCGAATATTTAAAATTTAGAATATTCACACTGTTATTATCACGTATTAATTACCCGTGGATTTTTATTCTTTGCAACTAGACACAAAGAGTAAGCAAGAGCAAAATAAAAAAATCGTAAACATAAAAACTGACTGTAGTAAAACTACAGAATATACAATCAAGTCCTTATGTTTAATCGATTTGAAAAAATGCATAAACAATGCATAAAATTCACGTAATCCTCCAGCGCTTCCAGCAATGATGAATATTTCATACACCCGTGAAGCGTGTCTTTATAATACGTTTACACTGTTTATTTTGACGAGAATTTTATGTAAATCTATCTATTCATTTGCGTTCTTCTAATGAATGTAAGTACACGTAACACGCGTGACACGAAAAAAATTTATCTACATAATTACGTCTCATTTCTCTAATTTGCAACCACACATGGAAACATTATCATAAACCAAATTTCAAAGTACCTCACTGAAAGTTCTCAACACACATAAAAATATTGTTGTTTACCAAAAACACCAATTAATTTTTTTAGACCATGTTTACCGAAAACTGTTTCCAATTTCGTTAAAACTTCCCGGAAACCTTGTGCTTTTCCGTAAAAAAAAATCAACCACAGAGAACCATTTGTATTCGTTGTTTACGACTAGCAGAAAGTTCGAACACGTAACAAAGGCAAAAGATGTAAATTTGCATAGAAAACATAACTCACGTCCATTGTCTGGAAAATAAAAACGGTAGTTGGAGGAAAATGCGTTCTCGAGAGGTTTTACCTGCAAATAATAACAAAACTATTTTGAATTAATTTAATCGAGGACGAATAGCTTCAAAATCCGGACAGGTTAAGCTTCACTAATGGTGGATGCGCCGGGATAAGAATTTAGTATTGTTCTTTTTTCAAAGCTTTGACATTAATTGGTCTTTGTTTAATTATTACCAAAAGTGGTGCCAACTGCTCCACTTTGCCAACATATCGCAACTGGTGGTAATTTTTTATTTTAAAAACAACCACAACCAAACTTGTGTTGCGAACACTATTCGTAAAAATTAAAAGTAGGAAGCGTATTGATTTTGTAATCAACACAGAAATGTGACGTAAAGCTGTAATGTAAAGCTGTAATGTAAAGCTTTTTTGAAAGCTTAAGAGAAAATCCATTCATCATTCCGATTTTTACAGGATAAAAAACAAATTTAAAACCTCCACTACTCACCACGAAATTTTTACAAAAATAATTTAGCAGTTTCACGTAATAACCAAGTGTGTGTATATTACAGGGACAGCTGAAACTGCGGTAAAGTCAAACATAATCATAAAAATGAAGCCACATTAATAAATATCATAAACTTTATGACTGTCTAGCTATCGACTTAATCGGTTCGGTCGATCCACACTTAATTTATTATCGTTCATAAGGCTCTCGTTTGTTGAAATTGGAAGCGGACTAACGTTATTTTCGGATATTAGAGTAAACATTAAAGGCTCGGGATATGATGGTAAACTGACCTTATTACATTGTTCGGTTGTGCCTTGACCTGGAAGATTTCTAATTGCGTTGTCTCGTTTAATCAAAGTCTAGTGAATCCGGTGGCTGCTTGAATATCTCGTTTCCATTATTTATTTCTTTTGTAATCGAGGAACAAATTCGTAGTAGCCTAAAATAGCGCATTTAACGATTGATAATAATCGATCGCCACGAAAATACGAGTCGTTTATAATTTAGATGTTGTTCTTCCCGAGATTTTCAAATAACATGAGGTGGAATTGGAAAACATGTACAAAATCTTTTCAGGTTTGTTAAATCTTTTGAACTGTGGCTGTTTGAGTCGGTGAAAGGGGTAACAATTCATAAAGCAACAGTATAATAGGCTCAGATTCGAAGCTTCCTTTATAATGCCAGAGCAGTTATGTATAGGTAACCTTTAGATACTATTTCGGTAATTTGATCGGCCTGAATACGAAATTGGCTAACTGAAAAATAAAGCGAGTGGAAAAGGTCACCGGTTCTAATTTCCTTATTAACGGGCCTTTGTTCGAGGAGTTCTTGGAGAGTGGCTTTGAATCGATTTTTTTTTCTAAGTACGGGTGAAATTTTTTATAGGTGTTAAGTGTTACGAGCGATAGTGGAAAAAATTTAATATATTTTTGTTAATAAACAATAATGGAAAAATAAAAATTAGTTATATGTCCATCTATCAAAAAATTACACTTTTTTTTAATTTTCGAGATTCTCAATATAAGATTCTTTCGGATACTGCATTTGTTCTGGTTTATTCTAGGAGGTTCTTCAGAATTACTATTAAATTTGACCCCAAGAAACAGTCTACCAAATAAAAGTTTACTCCATTTCTTCAATTTTTCGATTATAGTTTTTTCAATCATTCAGTTTTTCAATTTTGCAATTTTTCAGTTTCATGATTTTTTAATGTTTTTCAACTTTTCAATTTTTAAAAGTTGGAATTGTCGAGTTTTCAAATTTAAATTTTTCAATTTTTCGAATTTTCCATTCGCCATTTCTTCAATTTTTCGACTTTTCAATTTCTGGGTATTTTAATTTTTTCTTTTTTCGATTTTCCTTTCAGAACCTCCATTTTTTAAATTTTTCGTTTTTCAATTTTTCAATTTTTCACTTTGAGTTAGAATTTGTGGAGTTTTTTAAAATTTTGAATTTTTAAAATTTTAAAATTTTCCATTTCATATTTCTTTAATTTTCCGATTTTTATTTTTTTTTTCAATTTTTCGATTTTTTATTTAACTTCTCGTTTCTTCAGTTTTAAATTTTAATGTTTGGGTTTCTCGATTTTTCGATTTTTTAACGTTACAATTTGTCGAGTTTTAAAATTTTGAATTTGTCAATTTTTCTAATTTTTCATTTCTCATTTGTTAAATTTTTCGATCCTTCAGTTTCAATTTTTCGATTTTTAATTTTTCGTTTTTTCAACTTTTTGGTTTTTCAGTTTTAAATTTTTAATGTTTAGATTTTTTAATTTTTTGATTTTATACGTCAGAATTTGTCGAGTTTAAAATTTTAGAATTTGTCAATTTTTCTCATTTTCCATTGTATGATTTTCTAAAACTTTTAATTTTTATTTTTGTTAATTTTCCAATATTTTAGGTCCAATTTTTCGTTTCTTTAATTTTTCCATTTTTAATTTTTCCTTTTCTTGAGTTTTGAATTTTCAGTTTTAAATTTTTAATGATTAAAATTTTTCGAGTTTTCAGCTTTTAAATTTGTCAATTTTCCATTTCTCATTTCCTCAATACATCGATTTTCAATTATTAGATTTTTCTATTTCTAGATATATGAATTTTTTAATTTTTTGATTTTCCGTTTTCTGGATATTTAAATTTTCAATTTTTGTTTATCGTTTTTTAATTTGTATCTCATTCAATTTCACGATTTTCAAATCTTTGATTTTTTAATTTTGCAATTTTTTGATTTTTGTATTTCCATTTGATTTAATTTTTGATTTTTTCAATTTTCCGATTTTTTTAATTTCCCGTTTTTTAAAACTTTTACTTTCTTCAGTTCCTCAATTTTTCAGTTTCTCAAGTTTTTCTTTTTCGATTTTTCAATTTTTCAATTTTTCGTTTTTTCGGTTTCACGATTTTACAATTTTTCAATTTTTAAATGTTAGAATTTGTCAAGTTTTAAAATTTCTAATTTTTCAATTTTTCTTATTTTCCATTTCTAGATATTTTAATTTTTCATTTTGTCGAGTTTCCGACCTTTTACTTTCAATTTTTCTTTTCTTTAATTTTTCGATTATTAATTTCTCATTTCTTCAATATTTCGATTTTACAATTTTCGGATTTTTCAAATTTTTCGTTTTCTAATTAAAAATTTTCCAATTTTTTGATTTTTAATTTTTCGTATTTCAAAATTTTGCTTTTTGAGTTTCTGAATTTTTAATTTTTTGAATTTTTCAATTCATCATTTTTTCAGTTTCAAGATTTTTCAATTTTTCTCATTTCTTAAATTTTTCGATTTTGCAATTTCTTAATATTATAATTTTCTGTTTTTTGGATTTTCCGGTCTTTCAGAGTCTAGATTTTTCGTACTTTTGCAATTTTTTGATTTCTCAATTTTTTATTTCTTTAAGTTTTCAATTTTTTTTATTTTTCGATTTTTCAATTTATTAAGTTTTCATTTTCCCGATTTTTGTTTATTTTAGTTTTTCAATTTTTCAATTTCCCAATTTTCAAAATTTTCTGTTTTTCAACTTTTCATTTCTTCAATTTTTCCAGTTTCCAATTTTTGGAAATTTTAATTTTTCAGTTTTACAATTTTTCAGTTTTTAATTTTTCGATTTTTCAGCTTTAGAATGTTCGAATTTTTCGAATTTTCCATTCTTTATTTCTTCAATTCGATTCGCAACTTTTCAATTTTGCATTTTTTTTATTTTTCAATTTGTTTTAATTTTCCCGATTTTCCGATTTTTTAGTTTCCAGATTTTACAAAATTCCCTTTTATTCAGTTTCTCGTTTTTTCAATTTTTCATTTTTTTATTTTACGATTTGGTAGTTTTTGGATTTTTAATTTTTCAGTTTTTCAATTTTTTGTCTCTTTAGTTTGCAATTTCAAAATTTTTAAATTTTTCCGAGTTTTAAATTTTTCAATTTTTAGTTTTTCATTTTCCATTTTCTCGATTTTTAATTTTTCGGTTATTTTCAAAAGAAAAAACAAGTTTATTAAAACTGTAATTTTGAAAAATTGTAAAAAAGACAATTTTGGATTATTTTCTCTGATAGTATGTATGAAATTAAAATATCTACAAATTGAAAAACAGAAAAAACGCAAAAATTTAAAATTCAAGACTTTAAAAGATGGGAAATCTAAAAAATGAAAAATTAAAAGACATCCAGAAATTGAAAAATCGAAAAATTGAAGAACTGAGAAACGAAAAACCGAATAAATGAAAAATTCAAAAACCGAAAACTTTACAAATTCTAACGTTTGAAAATTGGAAAACTGTAAAATCGTAATATTAAAAAAGTCAAGTAACTGAAAAAATGAAAAATTGAAAAATTAAGAAATGACAACTGAAAAATCGAAAAACTAAAAATTAATGGAACGAAAAATTGAAAAAACGAAAATTTGAAACAATTTTTTGATTTTTGAATATCCGAGTTTGTCCAGTTTTTTACTTTTGAATTTTCTAGTTTTTCGAATTTTCCATTTCTCATTTCTTCAATTTTTCGATTTTACAATTTTTTTATTTTCCAATTTCTAAATATTTTATTTTTCATTTTCCCGATTTTCTGATCTTCTAGAGTCTAGATTTTTCATACATTTCTTTTTTGCAGTTTCTCGATTCGTCAATTTTTCGTTTTTTCTGTTTCTCGATTTTTTATTTCTTCAACTTCTCGTTGTTGGTTTTTCAATATTTCAATTATTTTATTTTTCAATTTTCCAATTTAGTGAGTTTTCATTTTCCCGATTTTTCTTTATTTCAATTTTTCAATTTTCAGTTTCCCAATTTTCAAATTTTTCTGCTTTTCAACCTTTCATTTCTTCAATTTTCCCAGTTTACAATTTTTCCATATTTTAATTTTTCAGTATTTAACTATTTAATTTTCCAGTGTTCATTTCTTCAATTCGAATCGCAATTTTTGAATTTTACAATTTTTTGATTTTGCAAAATATGTATCTATATATTTTGGTTATAATTTTTTCGATCTTCCGATTTTTTTTGTACCTAGATTTCTAAAATTTTCCTTTTTTCAGTTTCTCGTATTTTCAATTTTTCGTTTTTTGATTTTAGGATTTGGCAATTTTTCGATTTTTAATTTTCCATTTTCCATTTTCTCGATTTTTAATTTTCCATGTATTTTCAAAAGAAGAAACAAATTTATTAAAACTGTAATTTTGAAAAATTGTAAACAAGAATATTTTGGATTATTTTCTCTGTTATTACGTATGAAATTAAAATATCTACAAATTGAAACACAGAAAAAACGAAAAATTTGAAAATTCAAGACTTTAAAAGATGGAAAATCTAAAAAATGAAAAATTAAAACACATCCAGAAATTGAAAAATCGAAAAATCGAAACTGAGAAACGAAAAACCGAATAATTGAAAAATTCAAAAATCGAAAACTTGACAAATTCTAACGTTTAAAAATGGAAAAACTGTAAAATCGTAAAATTTAAAAAATCGAAAAACTAAAAAATCATAAAATCAATGGAACGAAAAATAATAACTGAAAATTTTAAAATTTCAAAAACTGAAAACTCGGTAAATTCTAGAAAAATAGAAAAACTGTAAAATCGTAAAATTAGAATCTAAAAAATCGAAAAACTGAAAGATTATACAATTATAGAAACGAAAAATCGAAAAATTGTACAATCATGAAACTGAAAAAGCGAAAAATGAATAATCCAAAAAAATGAAAACTGTAGAAACTGTAAAATCAAAAAAGTGTAAAAACGAAACATTAAAATTCGAAAAATTACAAAATCGTAAAATCAACGAAAAATTAAAAAGTCGAAAAACTGAAAAAGCAAAAATTTGAAAATCAAGAATTTAAAAAAATCAGAAACAAAAATGAAGATATATAGAAATTGAAAAATAAAAAATTGCAAAATAAAAAAACGAATTGAATAATGGAGCAAATGAAAAATACAAAATTCGAAAAATTGAAAAATCTGAAAGCTGAAAAATAAAAAAAATTAAAAATCGAGAGGAAATTGAAAAAATAAAATATTGATGAATTGTGACTTCGAAAAACTGAAGAAATGAAAAGTTGAAAGGCTGAGAAATCACAGATTTCAAAAATTGGGAAATTGAAAAATCGAGAAAATGAAAATCAAAAAATTGAAAAATTCAAAAATTGGAATTTTGAAAAAACTCGAAACGAAAAATTGAAAAATTAAAAAATTAAAAACTGAAAAACTGAAAAATCATAAAATTAATGAAACAAAAACTGAAAAAACTAAAATTTAAAAGATGGGAAAATCTAAAAACTGAAAAATTAAATTATACATGCAGAAATTGAAAAATAGAAAAAATTGAAGAAATGGGGAACCAATAACTGAATTATTGAAAACTTGAAAAACCGATAACTCGGCAAATTCTAAAAAAATCGAAAAACTGTAAAATCGTAAAATTAAAAGTCGAGAAAATGAAAAAACGAAAAATTGAAAATTTAAAAAATAAAAACTGAAAAATCGAAAAACTGAAAAATCATAACATTAATGAAACAAAACATCGAAAAATTGATGAATTGAGAAACTGAAAAAACGAAAATTTGAAAAATTGAAAAATCCGGAAGCTGAAAAATTAAAAAAATTAAAAATCGAGAGGAAATGAAAAATAAAATATAGATGAATTATGACTTCGAAAAACTGGAGAAATGAAAAGTTGAAAGGCTGAAAAATCAAAGATTTCAAAAATTGGGAAATTGAAAAATTAAATAATTAAAAACCGAAAAACTGAAATATCATAAAATTAATGAAAGAAAAACTTGAAAAATTGGGAAACCGAAAAAACGAAAATTTAAAAGATGGGAAAATCTAAAAACTGAAAAATTAAATTATACATCCAGAAATTGAAAAATCGAAAAATTGAAGAAATGAGGAACCAACAACTGAATTATTGAAAATTTGAAAAACCGAAAACTCGGTAAATTCTAAAAAAATCGAAAAACTGTAAACTCGTAAAATTAAAAATCGAGAAAATGAAAAAACGAAAAACTGAAAATTTAAAAAATAAAAACTGAAAAATCATAAAATTAATGAAACGAAACATCGAAAAATTGAGAAACTGAAAAAACGAAAATTTGAAAAATCGAGAAAGTGAAAAATTGAGAAATTGAAACATGTTCTGAAAAATTAAAATATCGATAAAATGTAACTTCGAAAAACTGAAGAAATAAAAAGTTGACAGATAAAAAAAATCAATGATTTGAAAATTGGAAAATGCAAAATCGAGAAAATGAAAATCAAAAAATCGAAAAATTCAAAAATTGGAATTTTGAAAAAATTAGAAACGAAAAATTGAAAAAATGAAAAATTAAGTAGTTGAACAATTAAAAAGCTGAAAACTCGCCAGATTTTAACCTAAAAAACGTAAAATTGAAAAACTGAAAAACCAAAAAATTTAAAATTGGGAAACTGAAAAATCGAAAATTCGATAAATTCAAGCATGGATTTTTTTTTTTAAATATTTAATATGTCGAATTTGCTTTCATATTTTTTCATTAATTTTTCAAAATTTCATAACGTTTTTTTCAAATTAATTAAATAAAAAAAACTACAATTGGACGCATAAGTCAAAAACGTTCAAATCTAGCCCCTACTTCCTGAAAAATTTTTATTTACAAACAAAACAAAAGAAAAAGTGTCTACATGTTGTAGAAAAAATTATTAAAAATATAAACTTTGTAACAAAAGAAAATTTGTGTTTGAATTTCCACCGTCACTCGCCTGTCATTCTCTAAGTAATTTTCCTGAGGCAAATATTTCAAGGCAATATGACACCTCCTTCCACATTCCGCCTCGGAATCGCTTTCCTTGAACATTTAAAATCAGTTTCATAACTCGACCCATAAAACAAGATAAATGTGGCAGATAAAAAATATTCCTACATTCGAAAGTTTCCTGACATAACTCACAACACCGCCCGAACTTAGCGAACACTGTTTTTTAACCCAGAAACTCCTTCCACAACTAGGCACAAATTCCGTCCATTCATCACGTTGATTTAATTAAGATCTGCTCAATATTGATTTGTTTACCGACAAGAACCCACAATAATCCAGCGAAAAATAAAATAACTACAACCACGAAAAAGTCAAAATTTTACAGAAAAATTCGGGGACGCCAGCAACATCCCGTACCGACCAGTTCCGACATTCCAAACACAAATTGATTGAAAACGTATCGAATTATCTAAAAATACGGCCGAAAAATCGCGCAAATTCCGCGACTCTTCAAAAACTTACCCTTGCACTCTGAATAATGGGTGTATCGACCTTCCGATATCCACAGCTCTCAGACATGCAATTTGGAGTGGAAGAGCGCTCGGCCGCCGCCCCCAAGTCGACTGGCGGAGGATCAACCCGCGACTGAAGTGTGCATAGGCGCAGTTTGCATTGATTGCCGTCCGGGCGTCACGACGCAAGGCGCCGTTTCGCGCATATACCCCTTAATCGCTTCTTGTCGAGTTTACAAGCGCCTTAAGGACGCTGAATTTGTTTATTTAATACGGCCAGGTTAATCGGTTTTGACGTACTTCCGGGCGAGGGCCGGCGATTTTCGGTTCTTTGAATAATTGTGGGAGTGACGAGTCAGGGAAATGGAAGACGCTGATAAAAATAGGCATGCATGGGCAAGTTAATGGAAATATCGGAGTGGAGCGGACAGGGTGATGAATGGAAGGCCGGGACGTGGATTAAGCGTGCACTTGGAAATTGAGCGCGGGGGTAGTTTTGCTCGGACGGTGTTCAACCCATTCGCAGGAACGTAATTTTGTGAAAAATGGTGGATGCGCCGGGATAATTTTTTTTTTAATATTTATTTTAAGGAGTTTTAGAAACTTCGACAGGACAAGGTCTGCATTTATTTAAAGGTCTGGATATCTGATCAAAGCGAAACACGCACGTACCTAAATCAAGTTAACGCCTTTTCGGACAATTTTAATTTGTTGGAATTAAAATGCGTTTATTCAGACATCTATTCCAGAGTACGAAACACTTAAACCAAAATAAAATATTTTCGGTACAAATTTCATTATATTCTATATTACGATAAAAAATAAACCGTCCTGATACCAATTTAATAAAATCAGATTTTTTGCAAAGAATGTGGAGGCGCGGGATGGGTTTTCAAACGGAATATTTCCCCGGGACCTTAAACAGGCTATATTTTTAGAATCAACACGTTGAAGTCTGTATCCCTGATTTTTTTGGAATTTTTTTCGGCAACTTTTTCAAAACCAAAATTTTTCAAAATATTTCTCCCTTATGAAAATTTTGGCTCATTTTTTACCATTTTCGAAATACAACCAAATACATTTTCTTATAGATTTCAACGTCCTTCGCCCTCATTTCTTCCATAACTCCTACAATTTTGCAAGAATCGCCAACTGAAATATAACAATTTTTAGAATTTTTCAAAAAATGAATTTCAAACTGAATTTTTCCAAAATATTGCCCCGGTACCATTAACACGCCATGTTTTTGGGACCAGCAGGTCGAGAATTATATCCCTGATTTTTTTTAATTTTTCGGCAACTTTTTCAAAACCAAAATTTTATGAAAATTTCGGCTCATTTTAGACCATTTTCAAAATACAACCAAAGACATTTTCTTGTAGAATTCAACCACCAAAAATTACTTTCGGTCTCATATCTTCCATAACTCCTACAGTTTTTCTAGAAACGCTAGGTGAAATATGGCAATTTTTTGGATTTTTCAACAAATGGGTTTTCAAACCGAATTTTTCAAAAATATTGCCCCAGGACCATAAAGACACCATGTTTTCGGAATCAGCACGTCGAGATCTATTTCCCTGATTTGTTGGGATTTTTTTCGGTAACTTTTTCAAAACTAAAATTTCTCCAAAAATGTCTGCCTTATGAAAATTTTGGCTCATTTTAGACCATTTTTGAAATACAACCAAAGACATTTTCTTGTAGAATTCAACCACCAAAAATTACTTTCGGCCTCATTTCTTCCATAACTCCTACAGTTTTTCTAGAAACGCTAGGTGAAATTTGGCAATTTTTTAGATTTTTTTCAAAAAATAGGTTTTCAAACCAAATATTTTCAAAATATTGCCCCGGGACCATAAACACGCCATGTTTTTGGAATCAGCAAGTCGAGATTTATATCCCTGATTTTTTTTAATTTTTCGGCAACTTTTTCAAAACCAAAATTTCTCAAAAATTTCTACTTTATGAAAATTCTGGCTCATTTTAGACCATTTTTGAAATACAACCAAAGACATTTTCTTCTAGAATTCAACCACCAAAAGTTACTTTCGGCCTCATTTCTTCCATAACTCCTATAGTTTTTCTAGAAACGCAAGGTGAAATATGGCAATTTTTTGGATTTTTCAACAAATGGGTTTCAAACCGAATTTTTCGAAAATATTGCCCCACCACAATAAACACGCCATGTTTTCGGAATCAGCACGTCGAGATCTATATCCCTGATTTTTTGGGATTTTTTTCGGTAACTTTTTCAAAACCAAAATTTCTCAATAAATTTCTGCCTTATGAAAATTTTGGTTCATTTTTCACCATTTTCGGAATACAACCAAATACATTTTTTGTAGATGTTGACCTTCAAAAGTTACCTTCGACCCCATTTCTACCATAACTTCTACAGTTTTTCTAGAAACGCTAGGTGAAATTTGGCAATTTTTTAGATTTTTTTTCAAAAAATAGGTTTTCGAACCAAATATTTTCAAAATATTGCCCCGGGACCATAAACAAGCCATGTTTTTGGAATCAGCAAGTCGAGATTTATATCCCTGATTTTTTTTAATTTTTACGACAACTTTTTCAAAACCAAAATTTCTCAAAAATTTCTCCTTTATGAAAATTTCGGCTCAATTTAGACCATTTTTGAAATACAACCAAAGACATTTTCTTCTAGAATTCAACCACCAAAAGTTACTTTCGGCCTCATTTTTTCCATAACTCCCATAGTTTTTCTAGAAACGCAAGGTGAAATATGGCAATTTTTTGGATTTTTCAACAAATGGGTTTTCAAACCGAATTTTTCCAAAATATTGCCCCAGCACCATAAACACGCCATGTTTTCGGAATTAGCACTTCGAGATTTATATCCCTGATTTTTTGGGATTTTTTTCGGTAACTTTTCAAAAAAAAAATTTCTCAAAAAATGTCTCCCATATGAAAATTTCGGCCCATTTTCGAAATTCATTTAAAGACATTTTGTAGTCATTCCGATATCCACAAGCTACTTTCGGCTCCATTTTGTCGCTGACTGTTGAAATATGACAATTTTTAGGACTTTTCATAAAATGGGTTTTTAAACCGAATATTTCCAAAATATTGCCCCGGGACCATAAACAATCCACGTTTTTGGAATCAGCAAGTCCAGATTTATATCCCTCATTTTTTTTAATTTTTCGGCAACTTTTTCAAAACCAAAATTTCTCAAAAATTTCTCCTTTATGAAAATTTCGGCTCATTTTAGACCATTTTTGAAATACAACCAAAGACATTTTCTTCTAGAATTCAACCACCAAAAGTTACTTTCGGCCTCATTTCTTCCATAACTTCTACAGTTTTTCTAGAAACGCTAGGTGAAATATGGCAATTTTTTGGATTTTTCAACAAATGGGTTTTCAAACCGAATTTTTCCAAAATATTGCCCCAGCACCATAAACACGCCATGTTTTCGGAATCAGCACTTCGAGATCTATATCCCTGATTTTTTGGGATTTTTTTCGGTAACTTTTCAAAACCAAAATTTCTCAAAAAATGTCTCCCATGTGAAAATTTCGGCCCATTTTCGAAATTCATTTAAAGACATTTTGTAGTCATTCCGATATCCACAAGCTACTTTCGGCTCCATTTTGGCGCTGACTGTTGAAATATGTCAATTTTTAGGACTTTTCATAAAGTGGGTTTTTAAACCGAATATTTCCAAAATATTGCTCCGAGACCATAAACACGCAACGTTTTTGGAATCAGCAAGTCGAGATTTATATCCCTGATTTTTTTTAATTTTTCGGCAACTATTTCAAAACCAAAATTTCTCAAAAATTTCTCCTTTATGAAAATTTTGGCTCATTTTAGACCATTTTTGAAATACAACCAAAGACATTTTCTTCTAGAATTCAACCACCAAAAGTTACTTTCGGCCTCATTTCTTCCATAACTCCTATAGTTTTTCTAGAAACGCAAGGTGAAATATGGCAATTTTTTGGATTTTTCAACAAATGGGTTTCAAACCGAATTTTTCGAAAATATTGCCCCACCACCATAAACACGCCATGTTTTCGGAATCAGCACGTCGACATCTATATCCCTGATTTTTTGGGATTTTTTTCGGTAACTTTTTCAAAACCAAAATTTCTCAAAAAATTTCTGCCTTATGAAAATTTTGGCTCATTTTTCACCATTTTCGGAATACGACCAAAAACATTTTTTGTAGATTTCGACCTTCAAAAGTTACCTTCGGCCCCATTTCTTCCATAACTTCTACAGTTTTTCTAGAAACGCTAGGTGAAATTTGGCAATTTTTTCAAAAAATAGGTTTTCAAACCAAATATTTTCAAAATATTGCCCCGGGATCATAAACACGCAACGTTTTTGGAATCAGCAAGTCGAGATTTATATCCCTGATTTTTTTTTATTTTTCGGCAACTTTTTCAAAACCAAAATTTCTCAAAAATTTCTTCTTTATGAAAATTTCGGCTCATTTTAGACCATTTTTGAAATACAACCAAAGACATTTTCTTGTAGAATTCAACCACCAAAAATTACTTTCGGTCTCATATCTTCCATAACTTCTACAGTTTTTCTAGAAACGCTAGGTGAAATATGGCAATTTTTTGGATTTTTCAACAAATGGGTTTTCAAACCGAATTTTTCGAAAATATTGCCCCAGGACCATAAACATGCCATGTTTTCGGAATCAGTATACATCGAAATCTACATCCCAGAGTTCTTTAGTAATTTTTCACTTTTTCAAAAGCAAAATTTCTTATTGATATGAAAATTTCGGAACATTTTCAGAATTCAATTAGACATTTTATTGTAGATTACGAACTGTAGTTACTTTCGACCCCATTTCTTCGCTGACTCCTACAATTTTTCTAGAATTTCCAACTAAAATATGACAATTTTTAGGATTTTTCAAAAAATGTCTCTTCAAACCGAATATTTCCACAATATTACCCTAGAACTTTAATATTTCAAAAATATATATATTTCAAGAAAAAATAATGCATTTCTTTAAATATTTGAACGCCTGGTTACATATTTAAATCAAGTTAAAGCATTTTCTAACTGATTTGGAGTATTTCATTTTTTGAAAAATGTCAAATCCTAAAATCCATGATTACGGAAATAAAAACGTTTCTCGACACAAA